ATTTTATTTTTATTTTATGCGCCACATAGTAATGTACTAATTAATGTATCCATGGTTTGCACAACGTTTTATGCCAACATTTATTTTGGCAATTGAGTTAAAGAATTTGCGCACACACAAAAATCTTAGGGGTCCTTTTCAAGATTGTTGTTCATGTCACGTGTTTATGTTAGAAATATTATATATAGGGATCAGTATCCACCTCAAAAATCAGTTGGGCTATAATAATAAATAATAACGTGTAGTGGAGTTGGTCGACATGACGTATAGAGTCACGTCAGAGATTTTTCAATACTTGGGACCTTATCTCTAGTTTTTTACATTTATTTTAGTTTTCTTTTAGTTACTGTGACACTGGATTAAATTATTTGATGATATTGCATCAGTGTAAAGAACTACTCTGATCTGCAAGATATTTACTTTGCTGGATCAGCTAAAAGCCGTCCTGACTGCTTCTATTAAAGTCACTTTAACATGATAGACTGTCATATAATCATGGCATTATACAATTACGTATGGTGTGACAGAGAATTTTGTCCAGATCACCCAATGTAATATGTAGTAATAAGTCTATCATAGCAAAAGTGAAGGGCATAACGAATTATGTTCAAAACGGAGTTATCTACCAGTTCATGCCTGAAATCGTTTGATGTACACAACGCTGGAAAGTAGAGAACAATGATTTGTCCGACCAATTGTCCACAACCCAAGGATATTTACTTTGTAGTGACATAACACTGAGAAAAGCAGGATATAGCTACTCATGTTTAAGCTGGAACCATCAAATGTTTGACATTATTGCTTGAAAATCAACTTTTACAATTTATCTATTTTATATAATAAATGATTAAATTTTCTGCCAATCAACAAATTGATCAACTAATTGTTTTTAGCTTTTGATTAGTGCATGTTTTCTTATGTATAAATGAAAAAAGGCCTGCAACTAATGATTATTTCTGACTTGGTCATTTTACCAAGTAATCAATGAGTTGTTTGATCTATAAAATGTCAGAAAATGGTGAAAAATGTTGATCAGTGTTTCCCAAATCCCAAGATGACGTCCTCAAATGTCTTGTTTCGTCCAAAACCCCAAAGATATTCAGTTTGCTGTCATAGAGGAGTAAAGAAACTAGAAAATATTCCCATTTAAGAAGCTGTTATCAAATAATTTTTACCTTTTTTCCTTAAAAATGGATTAAAACCTTAATTAATTAAATGGATGACAACTAATTGATTAATCATTGCGGCTTCAATAACTACCTACCTCATCATTTTTATTTGGATATTAAAAAACCAACAGTAAAAGATAATATTTTTCATATAAATCATATCTATCAAAATGCAGCAAGTGCACTAACACCAAAACACAAATGATCAAACACATAAACATACACGGCTTGCTGTCAGCAGCTCTCGTCTCCCTCGACTGTGTTAGTGATGCTCTGAATAGCTTATTTGCCATTTTATATTATGCATACTGGTGTATAATGAACAGGTCAGAGCTGCACTGGCTGACTACACACATCAAGAGTCATTTGATGTCTGCAGACAGCAGAGGAAAATCTAGATGCCATTTTGAGTGCAGTCTAGGTCTCGCTTCTTTCTCCCAGTTAAACAAAATGTCTGTGAATAAATGACAAATGTGAAATCAGAGGAATAATGACTGTGACTGTGGAAGTATTATTATGTATATATAGAAAAAAGAGCTGTGTTATAATGCACAGTTGTCATTTATTTACCAGATATTATATTTTTTAACGTGTATAGCAGCACTTTGGAGTGGATGTTGTCATAGTTCCTGTTTTATAAAGGCCAGACTGTATTTTTCTTTCTTCTTTGCACCTTATCATCACACTTATCTCCCTGTTAACTCAGAAAAACAAAAATCCTCTCCTTTCATCCCATTGCACAACTCCAACATGACTCATGGAATTCTCTCCAATCACACGCAGCCTCCAGTTTTTCCATGTTATGTTTTTCATCATTATCCAGTGTCGGTTTGTTCGATTTTAAATCATCACATCCTCAAAGATGACTAGCAGCCATCGGGGTTGCAAAGGTGAAAAAAAGTCAAGTGTGTGGGGAAAGGTGGAATTGTTTGGGTCAAATGTTTGATCACTGCCTAGATACATTTTCTAATATTAGAACGTTTCCTTGATTTGCCCGGCTTCTCTGGTGACTGGGGAGCACATGGCCAGAGCTGCAGCCAATCAGAGCGCAGGATTAGCTTTCCCTCTCTCTAGCAACAGTGAGTTACTTGCTGCCTATTCATTAATTATTTTCCTGTGGTCTCCCTCAGCCGTTTGGACTCGGCTGATAGCAAAGTGCTCCGTCTCTCAGTCTCACTCTGCTTTTTTCCTCTGCTTTCTGTCGCTCTCTGCTCTGGCTGAATAAAAACTCTTTAAAAAAGGATGGATCCTGTGACGCTGAGCTCACCAGCTGCTGCTGCTGCCCCGAACTGTGAGCTACTACAACACTATCAGACCAGGACTGTAACAGAGATGACACTTCTCTCACCTCGCACGACTTTTTCTGCTCTGGAACTTAATAATAAAAAAGGATTACAGAATAAGAGCGCTCCCTGCGCACTGCTTTTTCTTTTTCTTCGCCTTCATCTTGTTTTTGCCTCTTTTCCGCAGCAGCGCTCTGACTGTAAACAAATAAAACATGGCAACTGGGAAAACGACTGGACTTTTTCGCTGGCTGAGGATGGGGGGGGGGGTTGCCAGTTGGAGGCAGGACTCTGTGTGTGTTGGGGGGGGGGGGGGGGGGGGGGGGGGGGGGGGGGGGGGGGGGGGGGGGGGGGGGGGGGGGGGGGGGGGGGGGGGGGGGTTTAGGGTTGGGGGGGGGGGGTTATGGTGGNCGCTCCCTGCGCACTGCTTTTTCTTTTTCTTCGCCTTCATCTTGTTTTTGCCTCTTTTCCGCAGCAGCGCTCTGACTGTAAACAAATAAAACATGGCAACTGGGAAAACCACTGGACTTTGTCGCTGGCTGAGGATAGGGGGGGGGGGGGATTAATGGAGCCAGTAATCTCTGTCTCCAGGGCTGGGGGGGGGGGGGGGGGGGAGGCCTGGGGGGGGGGGGGGGTGGGCCGGGGAGTGGAGAGAGGAGGGAGGGGGGTTTAGGGTTGGGGGGGGGGGGTTATGGTGGTGTGAGGATTGCGGGCTGTGGTTGGGTATGCCAGTGCCACGTGTCTAGCCTGGCACCTCTTGCTTCTCGGCTCGAAGGATGTTGGACCGAGAGTCTGGCTGAGCCTGTCCGGCTTCTCTCTGAACCAAAAGTGGGGTGAGTGTTGCACTCTGCTGCATCCTGTTGTCACTATAACTCTTAAACCTTTTTTTTTTTTAAAGATGATATTCTTACTCACGAAGGTTTGCAGGGAATGTACGTTCGCTTTTCGAATGTCGTGGTGGGGGGAGAGAGGATAAGCTAGACTAAGGTTCGAAAGCATGCACTTTGGCATTCAAAGATGCACGTTTAGGTTTATTTTTTTATGCGCTCACCTGATTTTATTTAAGCGTCTGCAATGCATCACTCAAAACATTGTCCGTTTAGCAACGTTAATGAAATGCTTGCACAACATCGGGCCTCGCAAACCAGGCCTATGGTTATTCGGATTTGGATGTTTTGGGAAATTGCCCCAAATAGCTCCTTACCCCTGACATACCAGACCAGAACTTCCATCCATCTTCCTGTGTCTTCCACCTGCTCCATCTCCTCACTGACATCCTTTCATCCCGTCCAGAGAGGTTAACAGGACCGTTGTCCTTGGTTGGTCCACAGACCACAGATGTCGTACTTAATCTGGAAAACCCTAATCTCTCCCTCTTCCTCGCTCCCTGTCTCATCTCTCAGCATAGTTGCCATTTTGAATATGAACTTTGTAGCGTTTTTATTTTATTGACCCGCTCACATCTTAAATGGCCAAAAAGACACATTATATTTTGCTGTGGGTTTTGTAATCCAGTGTTTCCAACCTCGTGAATTAGGATTTTTCAAATCAAGTGTTTGATGGGTTTGATTAATTTGATTTATTAGAAGCTTTTATACTGATAAAATCCAGTTTTAGGAAACTGTTATTTTGCTGTTACACGATAATAATTGCGCACTTGTGCTTGGCATTTGATTGGGCCTTGCCATCATTTTTATCAGAGAATATTCGTAACCAGTCTATTAATGACCTTTATGCTGTATATAGATACTGTGATACCATTAATTAGAAGGAGTGTGATGTTATGTGTGGAAACATTCGCTTTTTAGTGGTATTGTGCTGGGTTTGGTTGCTCACTTGCCAGTCCATTCGGTATTCTCGTCTTGAATAGACTTGGTACAGTATGATTTAGTTATTTTGACAGAATGAAGCCGAAAATATTTGTGAGGCAACACAGAGCTGCCTTTTTTCTCTCCTACGGAGAGGGAGCTGTTGCAAAGGGTTCTGCATGTTAGAAAAAATTCTGGTTGCCCTACAGCCGTGGTGCAGGTCTTAGTTTCCTTTGCATGCTCGTTCTGCGAAAACGTTTCCTTCGCCATTTTGCATGACTTTCTCTTGGATGCTGCCAATCGCACATGTTGTTGTGTAAGTTGCAGGGATGTTTATTTCACAGTGAAACTTCTTGTTCCTGTGGAAACTGTGATGCGTCAGTTCAGGCTGTGAGTGTGTGAATGTAGAGTGGAGGGAATGGAGGCTCCTGTCCAGGGACCCAGTCTGCTGTTGGTCATGACGCAGCAGCATCATCCGATCTCTCTGTCCTAACCGAAGACTGCACAAGTGCACGGAGCTGCCGCAGTTCGCCATTTTCATGCACCGCTTTAAGCATCGTTTCACATAGATATGTGCCGCCTTACTTATGGATGTTTATCGAATAGGAACGACATTTATAGGGAGTTTATTTGTATTTTTCATAATTGCATTTTGTTTTTTTATTTTTTTGAGACTTACTTATAATCGTGTTGTCCTCTTTTCCCTTTTCTTCGTTTTTTTTGGTTTTTATGTCATGCAGGTCGGTCATAATCCCTGTCCAGAACATGTGGGAGCCTGAGAGAACTGAAGAGGATTAAAGACCTTCCCACTCTGCCACTCGTCCTCCAATCAGACCACTTTATTTGACCGCGGAGAGCCAACGTTGCAGGGCCCTCGTCTGGCAAAATCTTTTACCAGGCTGCTCCAGTTGCACCCAGCCAGCAGGTTATTCGCTGCTTAAAGAGCATGTTGCCAACGCTCTCCCTCTGCTCCATCATCTGGCTCAACCGGGGTATCAAACTGAGGAAAGTACACCAGTCCACCAACACCGGTCAGGTCTGAAACCGCTGCCTCCACAGACATAGCAGCAGCAGAACGCTACCTTATCGATTTTTAAAAATGCTTCTAAGCTTTGGGTGACTCCCCCTCCTCCCCTCATCCCCCGACCCTCTAAACCACCAACACCAGAGTTTAGTGACTTTTGGTTGCTGAGGAGGATTTCTCTGTAGCTAAACCCTGTTGTTGCAGTGTGACTCAGGCTGCACCATCTAATCCCCTTTTCGGTGGCCATTTTGTTTTTTGCCTCCCTAACAAAATGGCGACAGAAGGTTTTCAGTACCTTGCCCTCTACGCATTTACCAAGGACCAGGAAGAAGACCTGGATCTGCAGCCAGGGGACCTTCTGACAGTCAGCAAGGCCTCTCTGCTGTCCATGGAGAACTACTCGGAGGGCTGTGTGGAGCAGCCCGAGCGCCTCGGCTGGCTCCTCGGGTACAACGAGCGCACCAAACAAAGAGGCGATTTCCCAGGGACGTATGTTGAGTATGTGGGCCCCGTGAAGATGGCGCTCCCATCGAGTCAACCCAGGTCCCAGCGACCTCTCCCTGCTGCTCCAAAATCAGAGTCGTCTCAAGGTAAGAGTCTTTATCTATACTTTATACTCTGTCACGTGTTTTTTTCAGCAGTGTCGCGGCACGATAACTGTCCTGTCTGTAATATAATGAACAGAATAACAATGCACTCGTTAGCACGACAACATTTCAAATTTTGGCCTTAAAATATAGCGTTGCAATATCATACATACAGTTGGAGTGAAAGTAGTTTGAGAGACCAGCACAGAAGTTAGGTGATTCCTCAGTACGTAAATTAACAGACCCTTTTGTTATTATTGTGCGACGAGTTTTATTCAGGGTGTCTGCAGGTCCTTCCAACGTATTAAAATGCCTCAAATTCAATTTTTATGAATATTAGGCCATAAAATAATTAGATAGCCTTAAAGTTGAACTTGAAGTTTAAATTGCAACAAGCGTTTTATCTTATTTCACGTATCCATCTTTTAATTTTTTCTTGTCAATCTTACTGAAGCTCTTCTGTTTGAAAGCCCACATTTCTATTGTTACAAATCTGATTAACCTGTTGGCAAAATGTAGATTAATCCATAGTAACCATATTCCTACATAAAACCTACCTTTGCACGTACTCTTTATTTACCTGTAAACCTAACCTGTAATACTTGAACGAGAAGAGGATTTTTCCAACAATCAGTCTTACATTTGGTTAAAAATAAACTTGAAAAGGTCTTTAAAAAGCATTAAATTTAAGTGTCTGAAACCTGTAGACACATTTGCAGAGCATCTATTGTGAGTTTATGAGTGAAACCTTTTTTCTGTATGTAGGGTCTATGTTTATTTTTCTTTAAAATGTTGTCTCCTCTTTTTAAAATCATTAATGAAAACTTGTACGTATAATATAACATACCAACATGTTTGATTTTATTTTATTAGTGAGCCCCTGATATGCAGAAAAAATAAAATTAAGAAGGAGTGAGGCAACAGTTAACCCTCGGTAGGAATGTCAAGATACTGTGATTTCTATCTTTGAAACAATACCTTGAAATATATCATTATTTGATAACATGGTGGACTACAAGTTAAAATTGTTATTCACAGATAAATGTAACAAGACTGTAACATGACAACGATGACTTCTCTAGTTAATGGCAGACTGTAGTAAACAGCCAGTACTGCTATATCGATACTGCAGGAAATGAGTGTCGAAACTACGTCAAATATTTAGAATCAGTGTGTATTACTAGATTAAAGCACTAACCTATGGTAAGTCTTACAACTTTTTGTGCTTATATGAATTTTTATGGATCTGTCTTTTATCTTGGGAGAAGGTGTGATTTGTATTACGGTGGTGTCCCCCTGAAAGATTCACATCATCAGTCGGAGATCCCTCAGATGTCTTAGATCCTTCGCATCGAGCAGTCGTCTTTATATTATTATTAATTATTTATTTATTTTGTCAGTCAGTGTGCTGTGTATTTTTGGGCTTGTTTCCCCAAATTTAGCTACAGGATGAGCATTCCTCAGTGTCACACTGCTGTCCAGTACAGGCAGCTGCGTACGTGGAGGCAGCTGCCCGCAGGAGGAGGAGAGGCTCTGCTCGGTCAGGCTCCGAAATAACGTTATCTCCTGCCTGCTTCTTAGAAGTGGTGAATTTGCAGCTCACAGCAACTCATTATGCGACACAGTCTCTGGCTTTTGTTTGATATCAAGAGTCAGCAAAAAAATGTTGCTGCACATTTCCAATCCGTTAGCACGCATTAGCTTGGAAGGCTAACTATTACGTGAATGTTGCTGTCACCCCATTCAAACCCTCAAACTTTATATGTAAACAAAAAGGAACGAATAGTCAAATATTCAAATTGAAAAGCCAAATTTGATTCAAGTAACTTGTAACTCATGTTCCCTAATTTTTTTTTTTTTTTTATCAAAATGTATTTATTTTGTGACACAGTTTTGAGGGGCCCGATCATCAACACACATTTAAAAGCAGCTTATTGGCCGTCAGTTGGTGCAGTTGGTGTGTCGCTGATCATCCACCCCGGGAGTTTTGATAGGGCTCTCACATTTGGCAGTGACCTTGAGTTGACCCATTAATCTATACTTAAAACACGTCATAAGCCTTACCTCTTTGGAAGCACAGCTAGCCAAACTCACTGCTGAATAATAAAGGGCTAATCCGTCTACTTATGGGACTCTCCTGTACAGGTCTGGCATCGATTGTGTCCGTCTGTGTGGCCCCCTTTACATTCAACATTAACATGTGTCTCTGGCATCCAAACTGCATCTGGGCTTATCTGCACAAAAATGCTCGGCTCTCCTTTGCTGTGACTTGTTATTGACCCTCTACTCAACCATGGGTGAAAGATCGCACAGGCAGGAGGGGCTGCAAGTGCTGTTTTTAACTGCGGACAAGTTAGAGATATTGGCAGTCAAATGTTAAATGTGTTTACGTAGAAAGAAATGTTTTAATGTGTGTTTGTATTTTGTGCAAATTGAGAGTTATTCCAGGGAATACAATGTCACATTTTTTTACTCCGAGATAAGTGCTGTTCTTTCATACCTCTCTTCACTCCTGTGACTTTGCAAAATAGGCACGTCTGATATTTATTCATAATGGTAAGAGCCTGCTTTCAGCTGCGGCAGCGTCCAACTCAAACATACACTTGGCTTGGATCGGTCGACCTTAGCAAGCTCTACTTCAAGTAAAAACTTTGATTTGTTACCAAAGTTCCTCCACACTCCCAAGATTTCCATCATTTTCTCCTCATTAGCACTCCCTTGCTTTTGGCTGCAGCTGGTTAATTTATTGCTTCCCTGTACGGGATGCCAGGGGAAAAGGTGCAAAGGGCCAAAAGATTAATAAACGTTTTTATATCATTCTGCATATAAAATCGTACATTCCTCCTCTGTTGAAAGCCGTATTCTCTGTGTGCTTTTTTTTTTTTTTATTTTTTTTTTTTTATGACAGATGGACTAAGTACCACTCTGAGCACGTAGGCTGTGAACTCTGAATTACCTCTGGTCGAGCCAATTGGCTATTCATCGTGTACAACACAGTACACTGGGCCTCATTCAAATTCATTAGTTTGAATTCATTTCTCTGTATTTTTATTCCTGAAAAATACCCCCAAAAAAACTGGAGAATATCATAGCTGCAGCACAAAGGGCTCCAGTTTTCTTATCACATGAGAGTTCTCCATGCCAATAATATAATAAAAACTGAGTGTGTATCAGTGAATAAGCCCAGGCTGTAACATTTCCAGTCGAGGCAGGTGAGGAGGACAACAGTATCCTCATGGTTTGATAGACGGTGAAACAAACCAGTTAGGCAGCAGGCGTTTGTGTCTGTGATCTGGAGAGACAGGGGCTGAAGAAGGGGGTTGAGAGGGGGGTGAGTGGCAGGGCAGTGGCTGGAGGAAGGATACCTTGGCTTAGCACCAGAAGTGCATTGTAGATTAGAAATGGTCAAGCCCAAATTTTACAAATATCATCTTCATTTCCCCGAAGGAACCGAGGCCCTGGACGTCGTGTGAATAGAGCTATTGTTAGTGTGGCCCATTTACTATTCGCAGGGATTGTAAGGTTTGGTATCGAGGAACAGCACCAAGGCCTGGTGGTGAGGAAGGTTTAAACCCAAAGTCCATCCTTTAACATGCAGCTGAATTTTCAGAGGAAAAAGCAATTTGGTATTAATTCATTTATCTAAACTACAGTTTCAGAACACAAAACTTTCGTAGCAGCTGGTTTGCTTTGACAAGAAAGTTCAAAGTGCAAGGGAAAACTCAGTCCTGCACTTTGCAGCACTTACGGCGTGTTCACACAACGAGCAACACAACAACAGGCTGCTAGTCAGTTTCAATTGAAGCTGGTGACATGGAGCTACAGACTGATGCCTGACTGATGGCCTCAACTTTTTACAACACTCCGATGATGCAGTGAAGCTTTAACCAATCATCTGTTTTTGTTTCTAGCAGTGGTGCTGTGCCATTTAATTAAGTTAGCCGAGGATATGCTAGCTTTGCATTGGGGCGTCAAAATGTGATTTTAAAGTTGGGCTCAGACATTGATTGAAAGCATAGGTATTTTTATGGCCAAAAACAAACTTAAGATGGCATTGAGTTGAGATGCTTTGATGCAACTAGTAGATGCATGATAATGTAACTGTTCTAAGAGTGCTTGAGAAAGACTTCAACTCCCACGTCCCTACTAATACTCCTGAAAACGTATGTCACATGACCACTCACGTACGTGTGCATACTGGTGCAAACAAGAAGCAAACCATCTATTCCGTCTAGGGATGATAACGTCACTGGACATGGGAATTGTTGCAAATAGCTCACCTCCTGCACATGTAGGCAGTAGCAGCATTAGAAAATGCAGAATTTAGGAGAGAAGAAAGGACACGTGACTGATAAGACCCAATCAGGAAGGGAACATAGGGTGTCTGCATCATTGTTTTCAAATGTTGCTGCCTGTCAACACTAAAAGTTAGCCCTGGAGTTTCAAACCAAACAAGGTCAAAGGCGTTTTCAAAGTCTCCATTTTAGGCGTTTGGAAACATCGGAGTAGTGTAATAATGTATAATAGGTGTAATCTTAGCAAAAGTTATGTGTTTTAAAACAGAAGAGTATATGCATGCATGTAGCCTGAGTTTAGGTGCACAAAAGAAAGCATTTTGTAGTTATCTGGAAAATTAAGTTTGGAAATCAGTCCTTAAATGCACTGCAGTAATGTAACTGTAAAACCCTGTAGTATTTACATGCAGCTCCCTGGCTGTCAGGTTTCTGCTCAGACCTTGATCATACTTGGAAACATAATTTCAGCTTTTGAAAGCTGAAATGTTTTTATCAATGATTAACTCATGATTGTTGTTTGTTCGTGATCAGAGTATTTTGACTAAGTGCACTGTGAGGACTGGCACCGTTTCTTTCTGTTCTCCTGTGTGCAAAATTGCTTTTTTACACTTATTTATTTCAGTTTCAGTTTTAGTCAGACATTTGGACTGAATTATTTTGAGTACACATTGCTTCTACGGCGATACTTTCTCAGTCTGAAGTCTTTGT